TTGCAGCTATCTTTCGAAAAAGCGATTTCGATGTTTCGATTTGAATGATCTGAGGTTTCATTCGAACGGGACGGTGGTTTGGTACAGTGTATGAGTTCATGCAGGTTTTCCCAAATATGAGTAAATTTCGTATGGAAATAAAATGCTCTGAGTCAATTGAATTCAGTCGCTGAGTTCTGGTTGGCCGTGTAGATGATAAAAAAACTGCCTAGCTCATTGATCAGTTCACGAAGATTTGCCGCACTCTTCTCTCACCCGTAAGTTTTGACAGTTTTGGGTGGTTTGTTTGGGCTCCCATTCGTTGCTATCTCTTTTACTCAGAAGCAAAATGATAGGGAGCAAAAAGTGAGGTTAGGGACCGTGCACTGATCTATTGTTTCCTTGTTTCAAGATAATTCTCGGACAACACGGTAACCGCAAAATACCCAATAATGACTACAAAGTAAGCATTTTCGAGGGAAACTGAGACTACCCATTAAATGAGTAAAATTTTAGCCATTTATGAGTAATTAAAACTACAAAAATAAGTAGTAAGTATTCATTTTTGAGCACCAAATACTCATAAATAGGTAATATGTTTACTCATTTAATGGGTAGTCCCAGTCTCCCTCGAAAATGCTTACTTTGTAGTCATTAGTAGGTATTTTGCGGTTACCGAGCCGAGTCTGGTCACTATCAACAAGACTTAAATTGTAAAAAATTAAGATGTATTCCTTTGATTACGATTGATTCCCTAGTTTGAAGTAGTTCGGTGGTAAATCTTAATGCCAGTAACGCACCACGAAAATGTAATTTACCAGCCTTTACCAGTGTTGGAAAAGTTCGCGATATTTCACGAAGTTCACCAAGGGAAAAGTTCTCTAGTCATAGTGAGTTTTCGCGAACTTTTCCATCACTGGCCTTTACTATCGTCGCTATATTCATAGTCTGGCGGATAGAATTTCGATCTATAAAAAAGCGGAACCAATTCTATATATTTTAGACCAACAATTGAAAAGGTACTATCAAATTTATAAACAAAACGTTGATTATTTGCATTCATTTACATTCATTTGCCCCTAACTTTTTTCATCGACAGAATTCCTCAAAATGATGTATGGAACTTTTGTAAGTTTTGCTATTACCTACAACTTTTGTTAACAACTCAAATCCGTATCTCTTATGCAGTTGATCTTCATCATCCGCCACTAGTCGTCTGCTTACCATCTCTAGTTGATGAAGGTGCACTGCTGCTGAATGCGAGTGATGAGCTTGCGTTAGACTATAGCAAGATTGATTTCGATGTTCTAATGGACTTCCTTTCCGTCACTGACTGGGATCTTCTTTTCGATGGACTGAATGCTGATGAAATGGCTGAAACGTTGTGTGCTGTGCTAAATAATTGGATGGATACAAACGTACCGATTCGTCGGCCTGCTGTTTCTCCTGCGTGGAGCACCGCTTTGCTACGAAAACTAAAACGAAAAAGAAATGCTTCGCAACGTAGACTTCGGCGATACCGTTCCCTGGCAAATAAGCGTAGTTTTCACTTGGCGTGTAACGAGTACCGTAATCTAAACTCTTCGCTCTACAAATCGTACGTTTTACGAGTGCAAACTAATTTAAGGCGAAACCCCAAGAGCTTTTGGAGCTATGTAAACTCGAAGAGGAAAAATTCAACAATGCCTGCAAGCGTTTTTTTTTCAATGACGTTGAATCGTCGATAGGCGGGGAGAAATGTGAGCTTTTTGCTGCTCATTTTTCGTCGGTTTTTGCCGCAGAATCCATCACCTCGACTGAACTTGTCTCGGCTGTTTCGGATATGCCTTCAAACCTTGTTGACATAAACACTTTTGAAATAACGCCCGTTATGGTAACTAATGCCGCCAAGAAAATGAAATGTAACTTCTCGCCTGGACCAGATGGCATTCCTTCTGCAGTGTATAATCGTACTATTGGAGCGCTTGTTGAACCGCTTTGCAGAATCTTCAACAAATCTTTTGTAGAGTCGAAATTTCCTGCAATCTGGAAAGAGTCATTTATGGTTCCGGTACACAAGAAAGGAGATAAACGTGACGTTAAAAGCTACAGAGGAATTACTAATCTCTCTGCAGCATCAAAACTGTTTGAGATAATTGTGAGTGGTTTCATTCTTGAGCACACCAAATGCTATATCTCTAGTGACCAACATGGCTTCATGCCTGGACGATCGGTTACCACAAATCTTCTAGATTTTACCACGACAGGTTTTGAGCAACTGGAAAATGGGGCACAAATAGACGTCATCTACACTGATCTAAAAGCAGCGTTTGATACGATCAACCATGACATTATGTTGGCAAAGCTATCCAAACTCGGTGCGTCGGACCGTTTGACTTCGTGGTTGTGCTCCTACTTGACTGACAGGTCTCTGCGAGTGAAACTCGATTCCAGTACTTCCTCGTATTTCACGAACTCGTCAAGTGTACCACAGGGTAGCAATCTTGGCCCGTTGCTGTTTGTGTTGTACATCAACGACGCACTTCTTCTACTTGGAGATGGCTGTAAGCTTGCGTATGCCGATGACCTAAAGCTGTACTTCGTGGTGCGGACTGCTGAGGATTGCATTCGTCTTCAATCGGTATTGGATCTGTTCGTTGATTGGTGTCGTTGGAATAAGCTTACCCTCAGCATTCCTAAATGTATGGTAATGTCGTATTACTGCATCAGGCAGCCGATTGTTTTTGACTATGCCATCAACGGTGTGGTTCTTCAAAGAACCGACCAGTTCAGCGATCTTGGTGTTCTACTGGACCATAAGTTGACGTTCAACCTCCACCGCTCTGCTCTGATCACAAAGGCGAATCGCCAGCTAGGTTTTGTGTCGAAAATATCGAAGGACTTCATTGACCCACACTGCCTGAAAGCTCTCTATTGCTCACTTGTGCGACCAATCCTGGAAAATGCCTCCTTGGTCTGGTTTCCTCATCAGTTGACTTGGAGCTTGAGGATCGAAAGTGTTCAGCGCAAGTTTATCAGGATAGCATTACGTAATCTACCATGGCGTGATCCGCAAAATCTCCCGCCGTATTCTGATCGCTGCAATCTGCTGAGCTTGGATACTCTGGAATGCCGACGGAAAAATCAGCAAGCAGTTTTTGTTGCCAAGCTATTGAATGGTGAGGTCGACTGCTCGAGGCTTCTCTCGCTGTTGGATATCCGAGTACCACCGAGAACATTACGAAGTGGTACCCTTCTCCAACCGCGGTACCATCGAACGGCGTTCGGTTACAACGAACCACTAACAACTATGATGCGTACGTTTACGGCTGTCGAAGAATTATTCGAATTTGGGGAATCTTCATCTCGCTTTTTGGCACGGATTAGAAACACTTGAATTGTTTTAGGTTTAAGGTTGTTTCATGTAGACAATAGTCCGATGAATAAAATTAAATAATAATAATAATAATAATAATGACGAACCAGAGCGAACAGAAGCCACTACTGTTGTTCCGTGAATGTATTTTACATTCACTGAAAAACAGTAACAAGTTCTGCCTGCTCTAATTCTTGATGCAGAAGAGATACAGATTTGAGTTACGGGCAAAAGTTGTAGCTAATAACAAAACCTACTAAAGCTCTGAACATTATTTTGCGGAATGCTGTTGATGAAAAAAGTTAGAGGCAAATGAATGTAAATGAATGCATGAAATGAATGTAAATGATTTTCCATGCCTGCTGGTCACTCGACCCAGTGTGACATTCGAGCTAATCTCTCTCCATGTGAGCATAAATTAATAAATTCTTTACAATGCAATTTCGATATCGTTTGATATGAATAAAAATAATCGAACGTTGCGTTGGCGCGATTTTGATAGAAGGTTGACGTGGATCTATATCAAATTTCTCGTTGCAACCCTGTAATTCGTGAAATTTGACATAAATGTTTTGAAAGATATACAAAATCGTGCGTTTACCGCGCACTCATACTTAGCCTGTTTCTCATTCATCGGTGAATGTTTATAGAATCCACAAATGGCCGCTACTTTGGTTATTTTGCCTATGTTTTTAGGAGCGGATTCAAAACAAACTGCCTTGGCAACCTGTGCTTATGCAGTTTCTAGCAACACCGCCAATGCCATCAAATAGACGCTGCTCGACTAGCTCTGGCTTTGACAGTTTGTTTGGCTCAAAACCAGCCAATCCGCTACTCTCTTATCCTAGACCCTCTATAATGTCCCTTATGTCAGCCTAAATAACCTCAATATAAAATCCAGATAAATGCGCAGTTTTGGTAATGTTTCATTCAAAAATAATCATTTGTACCGTTCAGATGCCCATTGATCTAGGAAAACTGTGAAAACAAAAGATTGTCATCGAGAAGGTCCAATCTTATATTTTTTTTTCCGGGGAGCGTCTAGAGTCCAGTCACAAACAAAACCAGAAATCCAAATCTAATCAAAGTTTTAGCAAGCGAGCCAATTGAAATGGGGCGTTGCCCATTCCCAGCTTTGAAATTGCATTCGATTCTCCTGTGTGCACATTTATGCTCTGCCGCTTTCCCATGATGATTCCAAATGCTGGCACGTGATTGGTTGGTTGTGCTTCAAGCATAGCAGCAGCAGCACAAATTGGTGCGCGTCGTACTGTGTATTTTTCTCTGTCTCTCCTTTTCCGTCATCGGTGTTGGTTGGAAGAAGAGGAAACGTGAAACACGTTATTGCTAAAAACGATGAATGGAAACGGAATTCCTACTTGGGTATTGGTTGTTGTCATGACCACGCGAGCATAGCAACGGGCGGTCGATAGAGGCGATGATGAACATGTTTCGCAGTCCACAAGGGAACGATGCGGAAAGAAATTCTAGGGTAGATGAGGTAATTTTGAGCTTTGGTGAACGTTATGCAATGTTTAGAGTGGATTACAAATTGTATTATTGAAATGTAATGCTCTGGTTGAATCATAACTATTTCGTTATATAGCTTTAATGATTACTTAATACATCAAGAGTTTCAACACCTGAATTTGTCGTTCCTTTACAGATCATCCAAGCGTCAGAGATTGCAACCATAACGACGGCTTCGAATCCCGGGAAGGTGGAGCTATGTATATATCATGCGGGAGTGCCGATAGTACAACTCCCATGGAGCCGGAAACGGGATACGTCCCGAATAATCCCCTATTTGGGATGCCCCTCGACAGTCCGCAGGTGAGTAACTCGGGGGAAGTTGATGGCAGGAAATTGTGAAATCATACTACATATTACTACATACCATGATGGACCGTCGACGCTTAGACGACTAGAATTCAGTCTCGATTTTCATCTCGGGCGATTCGGTTCAACGGTTATTGCACGGGTTTCGGAAGGTTCTCTCGGATTTGTACTTTGCAAGTGAAAGTGAAAGTGTTTCTGAACATTGGTGACTGGATATGCTTGCTCCTAAGAAGCTACCCATGAGGATTAAACAAGTGTGTTCCCACTTTCTATTGGAGTAGATCGATATTCGCTTAAAGATAAAAGACAGCCTCAAGGACGAGAGTGATTGCTTGACTTGAACATTATTTTTTCCAAGGATTACATCAAAGAGGTGAACATACTAAAACAGTGCAAGATGTTACAAGATGTTGTCGGAGAAAATTACGTGATTACGTGATTGTCATCTTGACATCTTACTCGTATACTGATGTGATAGTTTGCATTTGAAATAATTAAAGGAAACTTTTTCTTGAACCAAAATTGCTATGATGATTTACAGTTATTTTTATTGGATTTTTGAACGGGTGCAGTCATGTACTAATGTAAAATAATGAGACATAATTTATGGAAGCACCATCGAATCAATTATTATCTAATGCAAACCCAGCTAGTTTTTAACAGCCACTGGATAATTATAAACATTCATTGGATGGATGCAAATTATGGTATTTTCACTCCAGGCCCGGTTTTACAACCTGACAACATATTCGGACTCATTTGGTTAAAAACTAACTTGACATAAACCTCTGCTCTGGTTAGAAATTTATATTCCAATATACTATTGGAGCACCAATCTTTTCGTTCATATCTTGGGATTGTACAACTCGTACAATCCATGTGAATCGATATTTTCAATATAATTAAAATTCAAATATAAATTAGTTGTCTTTGGTAGGATCTAGAGTGGGGTACCCGGAACATGGCCGGATGTGGCCAATGTGGTCCTGGACACTCGGCTTGGCTGTCATTGATCTTGTTTTTATTTAATTTTGATGCTATTTGATCCGACCATAATATCTTATCGGAATAATGCACTGCAGAGCAATCACAACACCAGTCGAGTGTTCACCTCATGCGAGTTAAGTCAGGACGTTTGCATCGTCATTCTGATAGATTTGCTTTCAGTGGTTGAACCAAGTTGGCTACTTGTCGGCACGGACTGATATGAATCAGGATCCAGGATTCAAAATAATTAAAGGAGGTGTAATATGTCCCACATGAAAAAAAGAGGACAATGTGTAATATGTGAATAAAGTGCTTGCTCAGATAATCTTCCATCATGTATCGTCGCTTAGAAGTATATTTTTTTTTTTGAAAGTTAGCAATGCAGTTTTGTTGACCGGCCTTCAAATCTTGACGTTGCAGTAGATCACACAAAAGTATCAGAAATATAACCGTGAAGAGCTATGGAAGATTATGAACAAGAACGGGTTTCCTAGAAAACTACAGTACAGTGGTGTGTGAATATATCGAGTGCACCAAGGTGATAGTATTTCCTGCCTCCTGTTCAACATTACTATTGAAGGTATTTTGAAACATGTGGGCTATAACAAGCGGAGCACGATCTTGAATAAATCCACCCAGCTCATTTGCTTTGCTGACGACGTGAATATTACCGAAAGAACGTTAGAGGCGATGGTAGACCAGTACACTAGGCTGAAATAGAAAGCAGAAAATGTTCGCTGAAGGTAAATTCGTCGGATACAAAGTATCTATCGACTCGACTGGTGGAATCGAGCGCGATATAGCACGCATCGGAAGAAGTGTGATTATTGACGGAGATAAAACATCAAAGAGGTGGATAATTTGTTCCTCAGATTATTTGTGCCGTCGAATAACAACTGCAGCAAAGAAATTCTGAGGCGAATTATTGCTTGTAGTCATGGCAGTACGGAATCCACAAAGCCTTCAGGGCTGGTAAGCTTCATCAAGCAAGCTGATAAGACCGACAGTTCACGAGACGTGGTCGAAGAATCTGTCGCGGTTAGTTTGGTTTTCGTGTTAGTTTAGCACAGTATTGAACAGTAGAAAGATACCATGGCCGTTATATACCAGAACGTTATTGAATGTTTCTGGATTCGTTCCGCTGGCTCCAGAGCAATGGCCGGAACATATTCCGGCGAGTATGGGTCTTCAGAACACAACTTTTCAAAAACGTGCTAAACCCACCATGCGATAAATCAATTCACATGAGAATTCGAAAATAAGATCATTGAGAGCCATGATGAGAGCCCAGCACCATGTTTACCATCCGGACATGTTACGGGTATCCCCGGGGAAGTGGTAAAACCTTTTCAAATCAATATCCATCATGCGACAGAATGAGAATTCAAATACATATCCATTGGCGGTCATATTGAGGATCGTAAGAGCTATATTGGCCACATCCGGACATGTTCCGGATACGCTAGGGGAAGTAGACGGAATCTGTCTTGAGTCAAATATCACGATGCTATATGTTGTTTAAAGCACTGTCCAGACAGAGCAGTTATTCCATGTAACATTGCAAGTTTTTATAGCATTCTACAAGTCTAAATCATGGTCTACAGAACCTTTATAAAACCAGAAATGTTACTTGGTATAACATGTTATAACGGTTGTCAAATAATTGTAACATAGAAACGACCATCAAGATAGCGCTATAACATGCTATAACTCTGTAGTCTGAACGTACTATAACATTCTTAATCCTATAGAAGCAAGCCTAAAAACATAGTTGTGACGTTATTTTATAGTTTATTCAATAAAATCTTATTTTTTCCTTATGGGACTGACTTGCGGGTATTTTTCACTGTGACAATTTGACTTGGATTTGTTTTAAATTTTTCTTGAACAAACCACCATGTTTCAATAGCACATAGAAAGATAGTAGGGTAAACGCACCTATAATGGAAGTACGTTAGTGCAATGTGTTCCTATAGTGGCGTATGGAGAGTCCATATTAGTGGCTTATAGGAACATGTTGTACTAACGTACTTCCACCATAGGTGCGATTACCCTAGTATTCCCCTTCAAGTGGATGAAAATAATCCGCAGTTCCATTAATCGTATGCCAAGGAGCGAACTTTTGATCTGACGCTACCGATGAGCTTCAGCACAGATTCCTTAGCGGTAATTTTGGCCACTTTTGTCCAGTCTTTTTTCAAATTCTTCTGTGTGCAGCTGATTTTTTTGCTATAATCTTCTATACACATGTACATATCATGCCTCATATACGGATTTATAGGATATTACAGGATGTGTCAACTTTTTTATCACGATATATTTATTTTATAGTTTAAATAAGATTTTCATAAACTGCTCCTACGAAGTCAAAACTAAGTTAAATCAGCTGATGCCATGTGGAATATATATTGCAATACCTGCTAAAGTACTATCCATTTTTGCAAATTAATGTGATTATTCCAACACGATTAAACAACAGGCAAGTTTGCACTGATGAAATAATGAGTACTGGGCATTGTTACCCTGCCTCTGAAGTATACAATGCATGCATTCAGAATCTGTTTTGACTTATTTCGAGAAATCGACTTTTGGCCAGCTAGCGTAGAACAAATACCCCTCCGTGCGCGTGGTGTAGTGGTAAGCGTGATTGCCTCTCACCCCAAAAGGCCTGTGTTCAATACCAGTCGGCGCAACCGGGATTTTCTGAGTTATAATATCTCTGTTCACGCCGTAAGTAAAGCCATTGGTCCCCGGTCCATGAGTTGATTAGTCGATAGGTAGGGACGTTCTTTTCTTTTCCCTTCGAAAAACAGAGTTTTGTCTGTTTGGCGCTTGTCTGTATCGCTCCACATTCAATCAAGTGCGGTGTTGCAGCATTCTCACCCGTGCTGCATTCTTCTCCTCTACTAACAGTTTGTATTCGCCGTCAAAGCAGTCATTTCTTCGGTCCGGGAATGCAGTACCTAGTGCCGCTGCAGCAGTCCTACCTATGGCGGACCGGATGTCCCTCCAGCCATCAATCTATGTTCGCACTACGATACGTGCGGACGTTGATAATGTCGGAGAAGAATTTTCCGTCGATTAGAACGTGATCGATTTGGTTTTCTGTTTGTTGGTCAGGTCTACAGGTGGCATTGTGGATATCTTTTCGGGGGGGAAACGTACTTTGGACTACCATACCACGGGCGGCTGCAAAGTTCACGCATCGCTGGCCGTTGTTGTTCGATACGGGATGCAGGCTGTTTGGCCCGATTGTCGGTCTGTACTTGTACATTGCCTCCCGTCCAACCAATCACGCGTTGTCGCATCTTACTCAGCACTACTCGTTTATGGTGCTACAGATTTAGTAGAAAGTCGCCACTCGATGCCCGCTTTCCGTACCTTTTGTCCCGTGCAACAAACTTCCTGTAGTGCTACGACTTCGAAGTTGCGTGGTTCAAGTTCGTCATATATTGACCTACCGCAATCCGGGAAGCCGAGCGATTTGCAGTACCATGTTCCGAGTTTCTAAACGTAGTCCTTATTTCGTTGTGTAGGTCTGTGCCGATTGTTCCGATCCGTATTTCTTTCTTTGGTATTTACGTTGTTGACAGCGTTGATCGTTACCAGCCCGGCCAGGGAGTGAGAAAGCAGTCACGTTTATCACTATACCACTGAAGCCGTCATCATTAAATCATTTAAAGAAAAATATTGCAAGAATCCTTAATGTTTGTATGCCATTCGAAAGGGAAACGTCAGTGCTTTTATTTGGCATATTTGGAAATTTTTTTTTTTTTCAATTTTAGGCGGCCATATTGAAATAAACTGGATTTTTTTTAAAGAAATTTGTTTTTCATAAGCTTACCTTCCACCAATTTAAAAAACTAAGGACGCTATTTGAAAACTGAGACTTGGTCCTATAAAATACTTATTATATTATGATAGAGCCACTCGTTTTTCGTAGGGAAACAGAAGAAACAAAAATTAATCATCACTACTTGACTTGGGTGCATCGATTAGCTTGGGAC